CCCCCCCCCCCAATCCACCCTTGTTCTCAGGAAAAAACAAGAGAAACCAGTCTGGATTTTAGAAAATCCTGCATTCAAACTGACAAGTTTATTTTTGAAGCTTCTATAAATAGTACTATCAAGTGTTTCTTCCTCTCTTTCAGGGGGATTCTGGAGGTCCTCTGATATGCAATGGTGAATTGAAAGGCATCACATCCTTTGGCAGGAATAGACAGTGTGGTGCTGTCCAATATCCTGGCGTCTACACTCTTCTTACTGCCTCCTATATTAACTGGATAAAAAAAACAATAGGGGGGGACTTGGAAGATGACTTTTTTGCTGACTGATTTTCTCTGCCTCTGCCATTCAGTTATGTGTAGCAAATTTTTAACTATGTTTGAAAGATGCAATCATTAGGAAGTGGTATTTCCACACTAAGCCTCTCTGGTGGCTACTATGTTTCCTATCAGAATTTGATTTCATATGTCTTTATTCTGCATTGGCATGACCTTACCCTGAGCCCAAAACGAGTACAGTACAGTGTTCTGCAATCACAGTATGTATGGCCTGTGGTCTTAGTCACTCAGTCATGGCTCAAGAGAGGGTGATTCCTCCACTCCTACAAACCAAATTTACCTTGAGGTTCCTATGGGTATGAAGGGTTTCAGCATTAAGGACCCAGTCCAACTCCCATTAATCCAGATTGCATGGCATTGGAAGCCAACTGCAGATTGCAGTCAACTGTACCTTCCTCTATCTTGATTTTTGTAAAAACCTCTTGCATTTCTGGAGACACTGGGAATTACCCCAGAAAACTTGAAAAACTGCTGGCTTCTCTTCTTTCACTGCTGGCTCCTCTTCTTCTCCTGATTCTCTCCCTAAAATCCATATGAGGAGGTTATTAGGTCAGCAGCCTCCAGATATGTAGTTTCAAAGATTTTTGCTGGACAATGTAATAGACCAAAGGGTCTAATAATTTTATATTTCCTTTCTTTGATAGATTCAGCATTTCAAACATATGACTGTATTAAAGTATTTTGCATTAAAAAAAAAAAGAATGGCAATAAAGTTTATGGTTTAAGCATGTAATTTTGTGGAACACTGTTTCTCCCAGTTCAGATAGGATGTGGAATCAGTAATATGCTGAACATGAACAATATTGCAAACTGCATCAAGACATATTTTTGGTTATAAAAGACTTTATAGTAAAGAATCAATGGAAAATGCTATACATGAGCCTGAAGTGAAAGGAGAGATGCTCTCTCTCTTTTGGCAAAATATTTGTACAATACTATCCTAATGGCAACTGGTAAAATAGAAAAGTTTGAGTTCATGACCATCACACGAGCAGTTAACTATATTTCAGTGACATTTTAGTCATAAATAATGTTTTTACATGCTCAGACTCCCATACTCTGGTTCTGATGCAAAATGTTCTCCCATCTTGCCTCTTCCAACAAGACCAGGTACCTCCCATTCCAAAAATATTTTGAAACATTTTTCTCCAGAAATTGGAAATAGCTAGCAGACTCATGAGAGGGGAAAAAATATCTAAAGGATAGAGATATTTATAAGCCAATAAATACTGCATATGAAACTAAACATGAAGAAACATAAGCCATTCATATATCTCTACCTGACATAGTAGTGAGGTGAAACATAAGTTTGGTCAACAAATCCACATATGATTGGTTTGGGACGAGAGATGGCTTTACATTCCTACAGTCCAAGCTACAGTTTATCTCCCCCAAAGTCTGGAAGGCAAACACATAACACCGTTCAATATTTTGTTAATACTACTGAAGTACACAGTATTTGTAGAACTGAATATTTTTCCTCCAAAATAAGGTTTTCATATTTCTTGTTGTCCGATTTGACTTTTTTTTTCCTGGAAGAGGGACCACACACAAATGTAGTAAGTAAATAAGGGAGGATAGAGGGATAACAGGCCAAATAGGATTACACCTATGGAAGTGAAAGCAAAATTTGGCCCACTTATTGGAATTTACACCCAAAACACTCTTTGACTGTAGCTTCATAGGCAGAAGGAATAAAACAAGTTGCCCTCCATTAAATAAGGGAAAGTCTGAACAAATTGTTTTCTGATATAAAAAGAGAAAACTTTGCCAAGTAGAAAATTGATTTTAAGCACCCAAATGGACAGAAAGTTACAAAGGCTTGTAAGTAAAATCCAACGGAAAATATGTGCTTGATATTCCTGGAGACTTGTCTTGGGGAACTTTTTGTCCTTTTTCTCTTCTAATAGGTTCCCTTTGTTCCTCTCCTTCCTCCCTTCCTATTCTTCACTGTTTCAGAATGAAGTTACATGTTACACTTCGACTGTACTAAATCTATGGACTGTTCAGTGGTGTTGAAGTTAGAACATGCTGTGTGTAGTCTCAGGTTAAAGATTAATACTGTTTCTTGCCTGCACAGCTCTGATTTGCTGCTGTACAGCTGGTGAGCAGGGTCATGACTAGGAGCCAGGAGGTTTTGGAAGAGGGTGGTTGCAGTGGCAGGAGCATGGAGCTGGGAGATGGAGAGGTTGTGGCTTCCCTCCACAGGTCTCCTGCATTATCATCCTGGGGTGGTGGTGAGGGGGAGAGGGCTGTGCTACGGGGAGTTCTCTACTGACCCCTGCTGACCCTATCCCAGCTCCCACAGCCCAATCTTAGACTCCCCCAGCCTTCCCCAGAGAGGGCTGTGCCTTTTGCCTGGAGCCAGACAAAAGCCACAGAAAAGTTCAATTAACCCTGGTTACTTAAGGCTAATTGAAATTTTCCCATGTGACCTAGCCCATTTCCCCTAAGCATGACCAACTCTCCCCCAACCAGGTGGCTTAATGGGCTGTAGCTTCCCTCCTCACCACCCTCTCCCCACCCACACCCCCCGCCTCCGTTTCATTCCTGAGGTTGTGGGGGGATGGTGGGGAAGAGGGCTGTGCTACCAGCACAGAGCGCCTGGGGTATAGCATGGTAGGAGCATGAAGATATGGCTCTGCACTCCAGTAGCTCCATGCTTACTGTGAAGCCACCAGGCTTTAGCTTAGCAGCAACAGCAGGGAGCTGCTGGGAAGCATACTTCCCTACTCCCTGCAGCTCCATGCTCCCCCACCCCAAGATGGTAATGCAGGGGGCCATGTGGAGGGAAACCACACCCCTGTACCCCCATGCCTCTCTGCCTCCCCACTCCCACCACTACAACCCCCTTTCTGGCACTGGAAGGGCCTCATCTGCTCCTGGACAGTGCTACCCCCTGGGTAGTAGAGTTCAGGAGGGTGGAAAATGTGTCCACAGAGCAGGAGTAGAGAGGGAGAAGGGGAGAGCTGGGAGCAGTGCATCTTGGGATGCTGGAGTACTGCAAATTGCTCATTTTCTCTCCATGTAGCAGACTGAAATTACCCTGGGTAGCATGGCCCAGAGTTAACCCTCACCTGAAGTGGTATAACTGAGATATTCAGAGGGTTCTTAGCAGGAGTTAATGAGCTTTAACATGCATGTTCTTGCATCCTAAATGCCCTTAGTATGATCAAAGTGGAACTTCAGCCTCAGTTTCACACTACTGTAGTTTAATATGCTTTCCTTCTTTTTTCCTCCCCTTTGATCTACTACTCCACTTCATTTTTGTTTTAGGAGTTATAGATATATTCATCAGTTCCAAGTAACAAACATTTGCTCAGAGCCTAGGATCTATCCTTTCTTCATTTCACTGTCAGAGAATGCCTATGACTCTGGAACAATTGAGAACCCAGGAGACTTGAAACGAAAGGTGTGGCAAAAGAAAGGTCTACAAGACTTGAAAGGATAGAAGAGATATGGACTCATATATGGACTTGCCTAAGTACCTTGCTGAGTCAGGAGCAGAAGGCCTGAGCAACTGCTAGTTCAATCAACTCTATTTATAGAATCGTAGAATCATAGAAAGAAGGACCGGAAGGGACCTATAAGATCATCAAGTCTGGTCCCCTGCCATGGGCAGGAGATAATTGGGCTCTAACAAGCTCAACGAGGTATTTGTCTTGCCTCCTCTTAAAGACTGCCAGAGACGATGACTGCACCACCTCTGCTGGAAGCGTGTTCCAGATTCTAGTTACCCATACAGAAAAGAAGTTTTTCCTTATGTCTAGCTGAAGCTTTTCCTCAACTAGCCTGCATCCATTGGTCCGTGTCTTCCCGTGGGGGGGTTTCTTAAAAGTTGTTCCCCTAGGTCCTGGTGTTCTCCCTTGACATATTTGTAGGCGGCTGTCAAGTCATCTGTCAGCCTTCTTTTGCTCAGGCTGACCAGTCCCAGATCCCAAAGTCTCTCTTCATAGGGCCTGTCCTGCAGGCCCTTGATCATGCAGGTCGCCATTCTCTGCACCCTTTTGAACTTGTCCACATCCTTCCTGAAGTGTGGTACCCAGAACTGGATGCAGTACTCCTGCCATGGCCTCACCAACGCTGAACAGAGGCTGGCAGAGTTCCAGGCTGCAAAGGGGCTGCAGGGAGCAGAAGGAGGGTGGTCAGCCAGGGGCCGCCGTGGTCATGTATATGCACATGGCTGCCAGGCAGCCTGGAGAGCAGCTCCCACAGGTAAGTGGGGGATGAGATTGAGGCCCTCATAGGGAGAAAGGGAGAGGGAGGGAGGGAGGGAGGGAGTTGGGCAGGGGTGGGCCTGGGGCTGCTGCCCAGCCTCAGGGTGCATGGGGCTTAGGGCCTGGGGCTGCAATGCGTGGCCACAGGGCCCATCTGGGGAGTGGAATCAGGACATGGGTGGCTCATCCAGGAGGCAGAGGGGTGGGGCTGGCTCCCCACCACTACATGCACTCCTGGGGGGGCAGGAGGGACCCATGCCCCCCAGATCTGTGCATGGGGCAGGGGTGGGGGCAGGCTGCCCATTGAGGGCTCAGGCTCCCTGCTCTGCTACCCTCTACAGCCCAGCAGGTGTAACCTGGCACTGCAGGGCAAAATGGGGCCATGGAGGAAAGCTGCTTGCCACTGTGAGCTCTGTGCTGCCCTGGCAAGGCATCCCCTGCACACGTGGCAGCAGCAGGGGCAGTGGCACAGGGTTGTGCCCCTCACTGCTGTGGTGCAGGCAGGGGACACATTGCCAGGGCAGTGCAGAGATTGCAGTGCTCCCATTGCTGTTCTGTGCCACGCCGAGTTGCGCCTGCTGGGCTGCGGAGGCACCAGGGAGGACAGCAGGGTGGAAGTCCAAGCCCGCAGCAAGCAGCCCACTCCTGCCCCCACCCCATGCACAGATCTGGGGGGTATGGGTCCCCCCTGCCCCCTGAGAGTGCGCACAGCAGGGGTGGGAGCTGACCCCACCCTGCCCAAGCCCGCAGTAGGGACGAAGCAGGCAGTGGGGGTGGGGAGCCAGGCTTTGCACCACTGCAGCAGCTGCCACCTCCTGCTGGTGATAGGGGGCTGTGGACCTGGGTCCCTGGCCCCACGGCCCTGGCAGCTGGAGGCCCCATCCAACAGGGCTGGTGGGGCAGGGAGCTGTGCGGGGGCACCAGCAGGGCTGGGGGTTGGAGGGGAGTGAGGAGCACAAACAGTGCCAGGGGTCTGTGTGGGAGGAGTGAGGGGCATGAGGAAGGCCAGGGTGCTTTGAGAGGTGAGTGAGGGGCACCAGCAGGGCTTGGGGTCTGTGGCAGGGAGTGAAGGGAGCCTTTCATTTTAATCACAGTTTGGGGGGCGTTCAGAAATTTGATTTTTTAACAGAATTTGTGGGGGGTTTTATCAGGGAAAACCAGGATCCTTAGTAATTATGAACAAATCAGCTTCTCCCTTACTATGCCTAGTGTGAGTATGATAAAATAACCTCAAAATAAAGAAAAAAAGTCTTAGGAATATATGGGAGAAAATAATTGATTCTACAATTGACTGCTATTAGTATTTTCCTTTTCAAATGTGGGGGAGGTGAGGAATCACAGATTTGTGCATCTATTTTATACACCCGATAAACTCCACTGTAATAGTAGAAGACAGATTCTGAATTAATAATTTCATGTTCTTAGACATCAGCCTCTCTGTAGTTATTTTCATATTCATTTCAAAAGAGGTCTTATTTTCCAACCTGCTTTGAAGCAGACCACAACAGATGGCCACTAAAACCAGAAGTTTGACACTATATGACACTTATTAAACATGAACAACCTTTGAAGCCCCTTTGAAATTTAAAAAACATAACTCGTGGTCTCTGCTCTCCTTCCCTACAGTCAGTTGTCACATGATTTACAAACAGCAGAGATGTATGAGAACTACAGCTGTGACTGTTACAGATGTTACCTGCCTTTCCTTAATGTCATGTAACATCCTCAACCATTCAGCCACAGCTGAAGTTTCCGTGGGCTGATTTTTAAACCACTTGCCTCATCTCCCAGTCATTCAAATTAGTCACAGCAACTATGCAGAAAAGGGTATGAGTATCTCTTCCAACAAGATGCACTGCTCAGGTCTTTCTGAGAAAAGAGGCAATCAGGGTAACTCTTTGGCTCATTCCTAACCCATTGTTACATATGCTTTTTAATAAGGAAAGAACTCGATAACAACTCGGCCAAATCCTGCAATCTTCATTCTGCTTTTACTAAACTTTCACTAAAAATCAAAGAGATATTGCCCCAGTAAGAATTAAGTCATATTCACATAAGAATGAAAACTATACTAATTGAACTAATTTGTGGCCCCCCAGAGATAACACTCAAGTCGCTACTGCCTGACCCAGAGGATCAAAAGGCTTGTATTGTCCATTAATCAGGCACGGATAGCCTAAGACACACTGACCAATCAGGTCCATAAAAAACACAGATTTGGTACGTGGTTGTTGTTAGGTATTTATTGTTTTAGACATACAGAGCATTTTTTGAAAAAACAGCACTGAAATTGCCACAAGAGCCAAAGATCAGGTGGTTTTCTCATTAAGTAAACCAGCAGTATCAGGATAATTAATAAAGATCCCTTCTCCTTGGAAATACAACTTGCCTGCAAATGCAGGGGATTGGCCTCAATGGCCCAGGAGACCCCTTCCAATCCCATGTTCTAGGTACCTACTCTTGGACAGATTCTCTCTTGAGACAAGATCTGCTTCATACCTGGAACAGTTTGATTCTCTCTGTCAGTATCTACCACTCCTAGCTCTTCCACTTGCCAGAGCTGAAGGGTCAAAGTCCCCACACTGGAGCATGGTCTTTGATGGGGGGAGACTCAGACTATATAAAACTTCATAGAAGGACTATAGTTATAACAGAATTTGAGTGAGTTGTAAGTGATTCAGAGCCCCTGTGCTGGCACTCTGCACAGGAGTGATGTCTATCCATAATTACTAGTTTGAAAGAAAATAAATTTGATGTTATTTGTCAGGGTTAGATTTCCAACTCAAGCATGGGCAGCGCAGGCTCAACAACATTCCATGATGCAATGACAAACTAATTGGAATATTGCTTTTTTCTGAACAATTGGCATTATCGTTTTCCATGTTTCATTTGGAAAGAACACAGATTTTGTGTATTACTGTAGTGGTTTTCAAAAGTCAGTGGAAAAAAGTCACCACAATGTCCTAGAATAATCCCCCTGGATGTCATCTCTTCTATGCCTGGTTTCACTAGACTGGAAGAATTTCCACACACAAGCCATTCCATCAGCTGCAAGAGAAATGAACCTACTACAATCTGGGCTCAGTGCTACTTGCAAGACTCTTCCTTTGTGACCTACAAAACAAAGCAAAAGAACATTTATGATCAATCCACTGGGAAATGCATGATTTTAAAATAAGAACTGTTGCCATTTTGAAAATCAGCCACGCATTGTAAGGCCCAGTTTACTCTAATGATAGCTATACAACTTGCTGGATAGGATGAACCTTTTGGCTGGGTCAAGTCTGTGCTCTCCACCAATTTTTCCCTAAAAGCGCAATACAAATTTTACTTTGTATTAAGGGTCATATTTTAGGGCTCTACAAGATTCTATGACCCTTTTCTCTCAAAGGAGAATATTTTATCACCCTGTCTTAAATCTGGACCCTTGAGTCTCCATTTCATTTAAAATATGTGTCTAATCTGTGCTTAATAATGTCTCATCACTGACCTTTCCCATTTGGCTTCCTGTGCTTCTCAGATATTTTGCCTATAATCCAAGAATCATGAGTTAATGTCTCCAACTTCTGAGGTATTTGCAGTATGAAGGTCTCTTAACAATGACTCTGCCCAATGACTTATTGGAGTCATAAACTGAGTGTATCCACAGTTGTAGTACAATCTATGGAGGACAGGTTGTGAAGCTCTGCTGTGGCCAATTTGTCCCACTCCACCAGCAACATGAGAAATTAGATAACCTAGTTATGCAAAGTTCTCCTTATAATGTGGTCACAAAGCAGGGAATCTGGAGAATGAACTGGAGAAGAAGACAGGCCTAGCATTAGAATTGGTCTTAGGAGACCTGCATCCAATTTCCTGCTCTGTCCCATGATTCCTGTATGACCTTGGAAAAGCCCCTGTGGACTAGATCCTGTTCTTCCACTTAATGCAGTGTTTAGGCATCTAAGTTACTAAGGATCCTGCTTTGGCCTACGCAGCAGCCTGAATTTCATGAAGGCAACAAAATTCATAACATGTCTCCAGTTTTGCCCTGTGAGTCTAAACTTGTCCCACTGCAAATGCTTGCAAGTGATTCAAGGCATCCAACTCCATTTTCCCTCTGTTGCAATCCACTTTCACTGTAGTAGAGGCACAACAATTCACTTAAGTCCTCTAAAACTATAATCAGTATAAAACTGACTAGCAATGCTGCTATCCGCTTTTGCTGAGTAGCCTGGTAGACAAGACACTGGCTCAAGATATGGGAGACCCAAATTCTAAGCTCACTTCATCCCTAAGCTCTTTTGAATCCAGCTCTCCCGCATCTCAGGACAGTGCCCTGGTCCCCAGGCCCCAGGTTAAGCAAAGCTATGGGCACCTGCCACCTCTTCCCTCTCCCTGTCCCTCCCCCACCCTCCAAAGAAGCTGGACCAGTAAATTCAAGGGACCAGTAAAATAAATAAGAGGAAGCCTGACTGTGACTCAGTGAACAATACTGCTCTGGGAAGGAGACCCCCTTTCCCAATATTGTATACGCATTTTGCTTTAAATAATGATTGGTCAAGATGTATAAAGAGTACTGTGACAGAGAACAGGCTTCTTCACCTGGTGCTTCATCTGTTTGAAAGATCTCACCCAGCAGGGCTGTAATATGTGCCCATACTGTACTAATTGGGGAGCTGACTAGTGGTAGTCCTAATACAGCACTTCTTCCACCAGAAAATGCCAGTTGGGAAGCATTAGCTAGAATCCTTAACAGGAAGAAGTATGCACCTGAATTTAAAAAGAAGAAAGTAGTGGATCGGGAGCAGTGAACCTCAGGGTCTCCATCTTTTCTTTCAAAAAAATAAAACTGACACATGTAACACTATTAAGCATTGTGCACGCCTCCCATGCTGCTTTACAAGATGCTAGCCTGCTTTCTCTACTGTCAAATCTTGCCTGAAATCACACTCCACCCATGACACCTCTCATTGTATCTCCACCTTATAAAAAAGGACAGAGTGGGCATACTAAACACCGATGACACATTTGTTTTCCGATCACCCTATCCATTATAGGCCTGAGTCCCCTCTCACTTTCAGTGATGCAACTCTATGGGGCCAAGTTATGCTCTATTTTACAAAAGTGTAACCTAGAAGAATGCTGTTACAGTGACATTGCTCCAGATTTATATCATTGTGAGGGACATAAGGGATGCAGCTGATATTAAATAGTTATTGGACCACATGCATAAATAACATTGGAGGAAGGCTCAGAATCCAGGACTTGCTCAGCATTGCTCATCTCACTTGGCCACAGTTAGGCTGCTACTTACTTGCTCTCTTTTTGGCCTGATGAATCTTTATCTCTTCACTAACCAGCAGGCCAAACAGTGGCTGAATGATGCTGAGTTATAGAACAGCTGGGTTCAAACCTTCTGAAGCTGTGAAGGGATTAGAATCAATATGTCTCCCAGATCTTGGGAGAGTGTTTTAGCCACTAGGTGATTTATAGAGAGCATGCATTTATTTTAACCTGAAGTCAATGTTACTGTCTGTCAGATAGACAGTTCAGGTACACTGGTTCAGGTAGGTATCTCTCTGCTCAGGTTCTTAACTTGTCTTATTATAGACTAAATACCTAACTAAATTAAAAAATACAGAAAGCCAGATCCAAATCAATCTCCATCTCCAAGACAGTTTTCAACACAATTACCATGCTCACAAAAACGGTCTAAATCAACCCCATTTCAGAAGCTTCAAAAACACTTGCGTTCATTAGATGCCTCAATTCTGGCCTATTTGTTTCCTGTGCACATACACTTCAACTTCTGAACCTGGCTAAGAAGCGATCTGAATCAAGCACCTGGGTGCCTAAATCCCACATAAGTGCCATTGTATACAGAGGAAAACTGGAAGGTACCCAAAGTCTAGCTAAGTACTGAATCTGTCAAGTATACACAAGACTCACCTAAAACCAGCAGTCATGGCCACTGTCACGCAGAAGAAACAGTGAAGTCCACTCTTGAAAAATAGCTTAGGGGTTAGAATGCTGACCCGTAAAATTGAAGGCCTGGCTTTAGGCTCACTTCACTGTGACCGACCTCAAACATACATATCCCTCTTCCCAAAAAAGTGCCCTAATGATCAATATATAGTATAGGCTGAGTCTGGAACCCTCCCCCACACCTGTGGCACTGGCCTCTGGACAGCAAGGAATTTAGGATGCACTGGGACAGAAGGAGAGAAGGCAACAAAATCTTGATTCTGTAGCCCAGCGAGGAGTGCACTCCCTTAGGAAATGGGAGACCAGGATGATGATCCCTGCTGCCAGGAGTCTATGCATTTTACATTAGCTAGTTAAATGGAACCCCTAGCATCAGGGACTAGAACACAATCTAGTGGCTTAATGTGATGGGATTTGAGTCCTTCAAGCTGAGGAGGGCATAGAAGTAAGATCTACCACTTCCTACGCAAGTGGCCTAACCACTAAGCTACTTTGCACAAATAGGGAGTGCCACCACCACCATCACTTGTGCTTCCAAGTAACAAAGACCATGGGTGCGGCACTTTGCAGTGAACCCTTTGCACTCAGTTTGAGTTGAATGTCTAGGTCATCTAGGACCCTCCCTTCTCAGCACTCTGAATCATGAGGTTACCAAAGTACCTAATGTGCAACTCTTCAAAGTGCCTACACACTGAGGTGAAGGAGTTTAAACACATCCTTGTGCCTAGCATTTCTTAGTGGATAGCTCCCTGGTCAGCATCTAGGGGTAATCACCTAACAGAAATTGTTTCAAAAACAATTTGTATCTAGCCCAGAGTGCCCTATTTGCTGGAATGTCTCACAGGGCCAAGTAACTAGTAACAAATTAGAACAGACCTAATGCTAAATATTAAGTCACTTGGCAGGGGCTATACGGTAGGAATTTTACCCAAGGCTTAATCCTAAGTGTGACCTCATCACTAACTGGTTTTTCATTACAGGATAGCAATAACATTCAGGCCATTATTGATTATAGAAAAGTGAAGCCTGAGCACTCCTAGGCTGAGTGGGCTTGAGTTTGCACAGCAGAAGATTCTTAACATAATCTCCTTGACAGAAGGAAGAAAGTCCAAAATGTATCAGTTTGATAACATTTTAAAATGAAGAGTTTATTTGCCAAAGTTTTGGGGAGATTGAAGCTCCCCTAATATTTACAGATTTGGGTTCATTCTTTTGGAGGAAAGAAAAGGCAATATGAACATCTCTTCAGTTTTCCAATCAAGCCATAGGACCAAGCTATCAATTACTCTCACAGCTCTGCTTATCACAAGGACACAAAAAATAGACTCAATATTTGAAAAGTGGGCTGACTTCCAGTTACCGTTCTGGTATGAAACTACCGAATACCAAACAATCCAACTCCAAATTAATCCAATGCTGGATAAAAGTGATTATCCCTCAGATGAGATTCACAGAATTTGGCAGGACAGGCTTCTAAAAACTAAAACCCAGTGATTTTTCTGTGAATGTCTTTCTTGCGAAACTCATGTGGTTAAGGGAATCTCTGACCAAAGTAAGAAAAAAATCAGAAATTATATTCATAGGCTTTTTTCTGAATATATATTTTGGTCCAATAACATTACATTTTCTTACTCCGTATGTTCATTATAAGGTGGGCAGAATTTAGTCACTTGTGTCCCGGCAAAAGATTCTAGTTAACAGGTACCTGGTCTTAATGATTAAGAAATCTGTTTCCATTACATAACTTTAAAACTGAATAGGAAAAGAAGTCATGCTGATAACCACAGTATTATAGCAAATAACTTGTGTGATAAGTGTCATGCTTAATATGCCGAATTTTAGCCAATTGTGGATTTTAAACTTCATTGCAGAACAAGAAGAAAGATTTTTTTACCTCCCTCCCTGCCGGCCATCTGAAAGGAATTCTACCTCATCTACACCTCAAAGAGTTACTCAGCACAGCTCACAGAGCCTGATGAAGGGACTTTGATCCTGAAAGCCTTCAGAAAAGGACAATTTTCTTGCAATTTCCCAGTTGGTCTAATAAAAGGTATCATTTTGGAACCAAGAGTTCTAATTTTTTGTATGTCTTCATGCTTAATATTACACAAAAAGTTAAAACAAATTTAGGCTTAATTTACAAGGAT